AGTTATGCCACATTATCTCTTTCATTTAAGAGTTTAGCATTAATGATATCGATGCGTATTATGAACTGCATTCCATCTTAGTCTATCTTAAGGATACCGTTGAGCTGTGTTTTTGACTAAATCTTAGTTTGAATCACATGCGCATATGAGGTAGTCTTGCACATGTGCGCTTGATATGGACAAGTAAGTTGGAAACAGATCATACGCATGATAGATTTGATAGCTACTCTAAAATGTCACTAGGACTGATTATTTTATGATCTCAATGATAAAAATTGATTGTTTACACTCACTGTTTATCTATAGGAGAATCATATTATGAATCACATACCTAGTAGCATAATGTTAGAGAATTTGGTATGAGTACCAGATGTACCATATGTGAACACACTTATTATAGAGATTGAGAATAATATATGAATTCCCTATTGATGCGTTAGCATCATCTACTACACAGATTCTTGCATCGGTACATTGATGTAGTGGGAGGATTATCATCTAATCTGACAGAATCATGTTTTTAGGTGAGACCATTATGGACATCCCTGTTAAACATAAGTTGGACCCAGTAAGCTACACGGAAGCGTGAACCGATATGGATACAGATCGTTTTGGCGAATTACTATGAAATCAGAGTTGGAATCTATGTATTCTAATAAATTTTGAGATCTTGTAGAACTTTCTTGATAAGTGCTTAAATGTTGCACATTTCAGCACCTAAGCTAGGGTATTTCAGTCTTTGCATCTATCTTAAGTTTATGTTTTAGTCCTAATTTATGTTTATGTGTATTTCAGGGCAATAAAGTTAAAATGAGCTAAGAACGGTCCAATTAAGCCTTTTTGGAGTTAAGCAAATATTTTCAGAAAATGGCACAAAACGGTCAATCTCGGGCCTTTGATGATGTTCCCAAAGATGGAGAAGCAAACCAAATAGCCCGGGGCAAAAATTGAGCTGAATAAGGCTTAAAGGAATTTTCCAACTGTGGGGGATCGATCCCCCAGGGTGGGAGATCAATCCCCCAGGACTTGGCAACATTGCATATTTTTATTTTAATGTTTGGGCTTATTTTGTAACCTAGTGGGCTTTAATAGGTTTATTACTTAAGTCCAGTGAGGCCCATTGTTTTTAGGGTTAGTATTTATTAGTTTAGTGATTTATTATTTGAAGAATTAAGTTTTGATTATTTTTTAATCTGTATCGTGATATTGTTCTCTCTGGAAGAAAACGAAAGGAAGAAAAAAAGCGAGGGTTTCAAGAATATTTTTTGACAGAGGCTTTGTCTACAGTTGAAGGAAGAAGAAGAAGGGCCAAAAGATGGAGATAGAACTTGTTGACACCATGATCATCTCCTCCATGAGCTAGTTCTTCACTTAGGGCTTGGATGAGCCCTAAGTTCATGTAACCTAAACCTTTGTTTTTCTTTTAATGGGGAATTATTAAGTTGTAATTAAATCTTTGGCCTTGTGATTTATTTATATATACATGCTTGATTTGACAAATTAGGGCTTGTATTGATTAATTCTTCCATTGAAATCTCCAAGTTGATTGTATGTCTATATATGATTAATTAGGGATTTTATTCTTCATTAGATGTTTGAAAATTAATTCTTCCATTAATTCTATATGAAAATTGCATGTCTATGTGTGATTGATTTAGAATTATACTCTACACTAAATACTTCTTTTAGTTGTGTTTAGTGATGGCCATAGCATGAGACTTAGTTGATACAATTGTAAATTAATTTGATGGATAAAGGCTTAATCTTGATGGGTTGTTCTACAAATTAGCTTATTGTCATTAGGTAATTGTAGTAAAGTAGGCAATTTGTGCTTGATTATGTTAATCCATACTTTTAATTACAATTAGTATTATCCTCTTAATTGATGTGTGCTTTTATCGAATACATTTGTGAATGTGTATGGTGGGTTATAACGTAGTCTTGAATGGGTTCTACACTTTAGTTTAATTGTCATTAGGTAAACAATTCATTCTTGATGTTGATAATCTATGCTTACAATTGTGATTTGTGATGATAATGTGACCATATCTATAATTACACTAATAAATTCCCCATTAATTGAAAGCATATGGTTAATTGCATGGGCTTAGTGGTGAATCCTAACCCTAAGACTCTCTTCCTATCTCTTTAATTCTTAGTTTAATGTCATTTCTATTTTCATGCTTTTAATTGAATTTTAGTTTAATCACTCCACCAAAATATTTTTCTCTCACACTCTTTCTCTCTCTTTCTCTTCTCTCTTTTACAATCTAATTAGCATTAAAATCAAGTTTAGTCCCAACACGTGTTCAATCCCTTGGGTTCGATCCCTTCTCACTTCATACTACATAGTATAAGTGTCTAGCGGTTTACAAATGTAAACTATGATGCCCGCTTGATACCATTTCCAAAACCAAAGTGTTGTGCATTATTTTGTGCACACGCTCGGGTCGCATCATTTCTAGTAGGGTAATACCTATGGAAGGCAAGTTAATCTACAAAAAGATACCAGAAGATTTCTTAGTGCATAAATCATGAGTGTACAAGGGAATGCCATTATTTTTCTGATTCTATATATATTGATGACATCCTACTCATTTATAATGACGTGGAAGTTTTGTCATCAATAAAAAGGTAGTTGTTCAATTACTTTTATATGAAGGATTCTCAAGATGTAAGCTATATTCCTAGGATCAAGCTTTTGCAAGATCAGGTTAAAAGGAAAATAGGCTTATCTTAATAATCCTACATTGATAAAGTTTTGACCAGGTTTGGTATGCATAACTCAAAGAATGAGTTCTTGCTTAATTGATATGGATTGTTCTCTCTATTAAGTAGTTTTCCAAGACTAGCAGAGGAGATTGAGCAAATGAGACTGAAATTATATGCTTTGGCATATGAGAGTCTCATATATGCCATGGTTTATACCAAATAGGACATCCGCTACATTGTAGGGATAGTCAGATGATATCAGTCCAATCCTGAACTTGATAACTGGTCTGTTGTGAAAAATATCATTAAGTATCTAAGGAGGACCAAGGATATCATACTCAGTTATGGATGTGATTATATGGTCCTAGTCAGGTATGCTAGTTCTGATTTTCAATCAGAAGTAGATACTATGAGGTTCATGTCTTAGTGTATGTTCATTTAATGGAAGGGAAATCAGTTGGTAGATTGTTAAGCAGATTTCAATTGCTAACTCAAACCTGCAGGTGGAATACATTGCAGCCTTAAAGGCGGCAAATGAAGCCTATTGGTTTGATCTCACTGATTTAGAAGTTGTGGAGTATATTAGCCTGCCTATTGAGCTATGTTGCAACAATAGTGCAGAAGTAGTCCAAACCAATGACCCAAGGTTCAATAAAGGAACAAGATACACTGAGAGGAAGTATCATGTTCTACATGATATTGTCTGGCAAGAAAATGTACTTGTAGCCAGAACATTGCATTGGATTACAACTTTGTTGATCCATTATCAAAGGTGTCATTGATCAATAATTTTGATCATCATCTGAATAACATTGGTGTTAGGTGCAATTTGGATTGGCTATAAGGGCAAGTGGGAGCTGTTGGGATTTATATGCCCTGGCATAGCAAATTCCCATCTGGATTATAGTGACATATGTTCCTGACATATCTGAAATATTTATGATTTATATAATTGGTGAATTCAATGTATTATGTTTTGATTCACTATGAAATTGATAGTGTTCCTGTGATTACAAGAAATATTTATATATATATATGTAAGTGATGGCAATCAATGCATAATATATAAATAGTAATTATAAATTGTTCATATTCGATAATTATGGATGGACTCATAATTAATTAAGACTTGAACTGGATCCGCGTTAGGTTGAGATATATTGCGAGAGCCGTCGTATGCAATTGCTCCCTATCATCGTCATGGCATTTGACTCTTAAGTATGAGAAAATTATAGACTCTTTTATTAATTAATAATTACTTTGATTTGTTCGGCGGATTCTTCGGGATCCTTAGACCGACACTTTGGGTAATTATGTGATTAATAGTTAAAGGGTTATATTTTCAATATTTGCATCATTGCTACTTGTATTTATTTTGTATTGATTATGGTTGATCACAAAGTAAATTCGAAGGCCTTCGTGTGGTTTTAGACAAAATAATTTATTATATATTTATTTATTAAATAATTATTTTTGTCAAACAAATGTTTTATTGTGATCGAGCTAGAAATAATCAATGGTACCAAAATAAATATATTAATTAAGTAATCGGATTGATAGCTTTATTTATCTGATAACTAATTATGCATAGAGGGGTCAAAGTGCAATATTGGCTTACAGGTTATTTATTATTTAATTGGAGTTCAATTAATTTCTTTTAGTGGAGTAGAAATTAATTTATGAATTAATTGAATTGGGTTCATGGACCGGGCCAATTATTAATTCATTGTAGCCAATAAAATAATAGGCCTAGTGGATTCTCACTCATAACCCAACTTGATATTGGAATTATATTAGATTTGAGACATGTAAATTAGAGACTGAGAAGGATTCGTTGTTTCATTTTCTTTACCTTTATGTTGCCTATAAATATACATGGTCTATGTATATTTGGATGGTGATTTTTAGAAGAAGAAAAAAAGGAATAAATTTTCTCTCTCTAAAAAAATTAGGGTTAATGTTTTCATCTAATGGAGGCTCCCACAAGCCTATTTTTCCAAGGTCATTCATGGAGGCTTATGAGTGACTCCTAAAGGTATAACAATTACCCAGAAAATAGAGATCTAAGGAGAAGGTATCTTGCTAAGGGATTTACAATAAGTGAGAACATTCACTTTAGAGGAAAGATTTAAAGGTTTACTCAGACCTTTGATGTAAGTATTCAATCCATTAATTGAATGATACATCATATTTTTATTTTTGTATAAAACTTGTCTCTATGTGATGAATCAAGATTTATGAATCAAAATCCCTCGAAAAGTTTTTAAAACTTGCACGTTTCCCAACAGTTAGTGGCCAAGAACCCAAGTCTGCCCACTGTTTCAGACAATGACGGGAATCTACCACTCTACCAAGCTGCTTCTAGTGGCCATGAGAATATGTTTCATTACTTAATGGACCTCATTAGCGAAGACGTGAAGGAACAACTAATTAATCGTGATTCTGGTACTAGGATTGTCACATCTTTTATGTTACATGGTTTTTATGGTAAGTAGTATTTAATTTATCATATATGATTTGATAATTTACAGCCACGTACCTTTTCTATAATTTGGTAGTAATTTTACTTCAAAACATTGTTAACCTTTTCTTTCTTGTCTCTGCGACAGACATTGCTCTATCATTGGTTAAACGCTATCCTGCATTGGCAAGGGGGAGCCGGTGCCTTTCTCTATTTGAATTGATTGCTGTGGAAAATGCTGCATTCCGAAGTGGAATGAAATTTAACTTCTGGCAAAGATTAATCTACTTTTGTTAGTCAATTCTATCATCTCTCTCTTTCTTCTTCATCTATCAATCTTGTTTGCTATTTAATTTATTTTTTTTCAGTAGTGGTTCTTATAGGTTTTTTTTTTTTTCTTTTTCTTTCCATTTGCAAGAAATAAACGTACACACTCACTTTTGACAATTCATGAAGGTAGAGGAAATACCAATAGACCTGAGACTTTTGATTGGTTCTTATAGGATCTTAGGTTTAAAAAACTAAAAGAAAATAAATGTGCAAGTGAGGTGTGTTTTTCTTGTGATCTTAGTTGACATCCAATTACCTTCTTATATATTAGGTCAGACCAAGAGAACTACTGACTCCACCTTATGTGATTAGAAATCAAAAAGACCCTGAAACACACTCAACCTTATGTGATTGAACTATGCCTTTTAAAAAATCAGTCTTATATAAAGTACTTTAGTCATGTGTACAGGTATATTTAACTGCTGCTTGTTATCTCATCTAGATGTTCCTGTGCCGTTGGAAGAGTCTGCCTACCACCGTAGTGGAAGCAACATTGAGAATCCGACCAATTTCTACAGTTATGGTTAGTTTAAGTTTGTTTCTATCTGTGGTTTTTTTTTTTCCTTAATTAATTGATTTATTATCTTATACTTTTTTTTCCCGGTTAATGGCAAAACTCGAAATGTTAACTCCACCTAGATGTCTTGCTAGCATTAATACAAGTATATGATGTGGAGTCCGTAGGTCTATTTATGTGAGTGGGGCTGATATCTTTATTATGTCATTAATGTCGATGATGACATATTCAATTATAGAATTAACTCTCTATTATTACCCGTAATACAATTTTGCAGTGTTATTAGCTAACCAATTTAGAGTGAGACCTTCGTGGTGAGGGTTCAACTTCTCATAAAGCTAAAGCTAAATGAGTGTGTGAGTTTCTTATCAAGAGAAAAAATAGATAAAAACAAAAAGTAAATTCAAGGTTAGCTAAATATTGTAAACTCTAATAATTTGTGTTAAACATTAATCATAAATAATCATGAATTCCTAGATCTTATAACTCAATTAATTTTACATTCTATAAAGTATAAATATATATAGTTAGATATATATATCTATGATAACAAACCTTTTTTTTTTTTTTGAAAGGTGAAATGAAATTTATAGATAAAAAAAGCACAATGCAACAGGCCCATAAAGATAATGGGCTAAGATAGGAACCAATACATCATAGATCAACTAGGCCCATAAGCGAAGTTGCCGAAACAAAAACCTAGAGGGTGGACCAAGCCCAAAGGGCAACTGTTAGTAGTTGAAGATCAAAGAGAACTTCACAATCCGGTGAGCATGGACAGAGCCTCGAGTTTCCATAAGCTAGGTGTCTGGTGGTTTCGCCGGTGGTCTCACAACAGACAGAGGGAGGTCCCAGTCATCACCAATTCTTCTGCCGAGAGGGGAATGATAATAATAATAATATAATAACAAACTTTGTTAAGATCAAGTCCAATGTCGAGATCCTTTAACAACGAATTAAATTGCAACTCTGATCAATGGGGGCAAAGCGTGAAAACTGATTTATCTCTCTTGGCCTTTTACACATATAAAAATTTCATTCGGATATTGTACTTTTATAAAGGCGAAGAGATAACCAGTTTTCCTTATTAGTAACCTTAATTTCACTTTCCATCAAAATAAGGAATAAGAAAGAAAAACACTTTTCCAATAAGTAATTATCATAAAGGTAATTTATAAGTTGCTCAGAAGTAAATAATATTAATTAATATCTATTTACTTAGTCACTAAATAATATGTTAGATGTCCAAATTATATAAGCATAGTTAAATAAATAATCTTACAAATATAACTTACCTAAAGCAAAATTTGTATAGGCTTTCACTGACACAATTTATCATTATCTCTATGATCATCGCCATAAACAACTTATTTCGCCCCAAAGAATTGCCATTTTGATAAAATATAATCATCTTATTGCTTGCCTTTCAATATGTGTGTGTGTATATATATATAAATATTTTATTATCAGGTAATTACCCTAGTTTGAAGGTAGGTGGTTGTACCATTGAACTAATGGCCTGTTAATATATAAACATATCTGCTAGCTGTACTGCTCTGTTGCCAAACACATACACCCTGTATTTTAAGCACTCCGGTCGTACCAACATACCTTATTGTTACAGGTTAGACGCTTGCCTTCTTACCTAAAAAGCTCAACCTGTTAGGTCGTATTACATTCCCACCCTTACATGTAGGGGTGGCAAAATTAGGCACGACCCACCAACACGATTCAAACATGGTACGAGATAAGTTGGTTTAGGTTGACCTTAAACGAGTTTAGGTCGTAAAATGATTGACACGATTAACCGATTAATTAAATATGTCATATTAAGGTTGTGGGGTTGAACCCGCGTAACCTGCTTATACTCGTTTAACCATACACAAATGTGTCATTTCAACACAAACCCTCATAAAAAATACATTAGCCCCATAGTTTTCATTATTAATTATGTTCTATAATGACTATCTAAATTTATATCTTTTAATTTACTATCTTGTGAATTATAAACTATTTAATAATTTGGTTGGATTGAGACTTATATTTTTTTGATTGAAAATTATAAATAATCTATTTAATAACGTTACGTAAGCCAAATAAAAGTCTTTGAAAAATTATCCTCAAATGGTCACTAAAGAGCAATTTTGTATCAAGATTGGTGACTATTAATCTTTTTACTTTAAATCAATTTTCTTTAATTTTGGTCTTTGGAACCTAATTATCCCAAATAATAACCATTTTGCTGGTGTAGAAAAAAAGTTTTAAAATGGGCTATGAAGAACCCTTCTGGCTTGAGCGTTACAGCCTGCTTTGGGTGGGCTTGATCTAGAATAATAGGCCCACAGTGGGGTTGAGCCAAGTTTTTTGTTTTTTGGAGTAACCAATTTCACGCAGGTTGGATATTAAACTTAAAAATATGATACGAGGTAGAGTGTCCAAGGCGAAACCTGATGTAAGAGGACATCTCGTATCGGATCCGGATAAAAAGTGAAATGTATATATAAGGGAGAGTATGTAACACTATCTAAGTTATGGGTTAGAGGACAAACACTCGACCCATAACAAAAGGTATCAGAGCCGGACCAATTCTTGATCCAGTATTGAGCCAAGCGTCCATTTGGATGTACTCACCCGAAAGTTGTCGGGTTCAAATAAAGTGATCCAAGGTTGCGATTTAAGAATCTTTTATTTTATTTGTACTCTTGTTGAACTCCTTTTCGTTGTTATTAGGTATGAAGCAAAAGTTGCTCCGCTTGATTTGGAAAGTCATGATGTTAGGTAAGGAACCGGTAAATTAGTAATAGCTACAAATTATTTGCACTATACAGTACATACTGCATTCTTATAAATTTCTTTGACTTCAAACAGTATCGGGGATCAAGTACATCCACGACATAAAAAGGAAGAATGAACAGGCACTACGGCTTTTCAAACATTTTTGCATGGAACTTGCAAAAGTAGATTCCTCAGAAATTGAAATTACAACAACAATTAACAAGTCATTAATAATGGCGGCTAGTTATGGAATTACTCAAATTGTTAAAGAAATCATTTCAGTATTTCCTGAAGCGATATTTCATAAGAACGAAGAGGGACAAAACTTGATTCATATTGCAATTGTTAATCGGAATATAGGCCTATTCAAATTCATTTACAAGTTCTCCGATGAACTTGGTGTTGCCCGTACGCTTTTGTTGATGAGTGATTCAGCAGGCAACACTAGTCTGGATATGGTGGCATGCTTGAAAAGTGAACAAAAACTCGTGCTCAAAGATTGTGCACCCGGTGCAGCTCTACAAATGCAACATGAATTGCAGTGATTTACGGTAATATTTTTTACTCCTTTAAAAATAGGTCTTTTGATAGTAACTTTCTTCGCGTCATTTACCAAAAATAAAAGTAAACTTTCTTTACATGTCAGTCTATTTTCATGATAGATGTGGTGTATATTTTTTTTATGTGTTCTGTTTATTTTAATTTTATTTTTACCTTGGTAAGGATATATTCACACACCCACTTGTTGGAAACTTAAAACCTTTGACCTTTTATTATGAAAGGCCAAAAAATACCATTAGATTACAAATTTTAGTTACGTGTTTCATTTATTTAGATGAAGTGGATTTATAGCACAACACCTTTATCAATTATGGATAAAATTGACTATATAAATTCTCTTTTTTCATTCTTTCTTATTATTTGTCACATCTTCTCTTAGATTTAACTGTCTTAAAATTATTTTTTATTACTACATTCTATGAAGTTTTGGTCCAACCCTTGTGCCTATTGTATAGTTCCATCATTTTTAAAATCGCTTTTAGTTGATGGAGCATGAATTTAATTGAGTTTAACCTGATATCCAATCGAAAATAGGATATTGGTTCATTTTAGAAAAACAGTTGTAAATAAAAATGGACTTCTTTTATTAACTACACCGAATTGATTTTATATGAATATGGAAAGAATATTCACAATTTTCAAAATTACTCGAAAAGGGTATTTGATTTTTTAATTATTTTTGGTAAGGTAAACAACACAGGCACCTTGAACCCTTAGCCTCCTATTTGGGGAGGAGAGGTAATACCCAAAATTGGATGTAAGAATACTTTTTGGTGCAAGAATACTTTCTAGTACTCCGTATAAAACTGTTTTTTCGAAGCATAGTTGTGGTATATTTATACGAAAAAAAAAAAAAAACCCTTAGATAGATGGTTGATTGATTTTTTTTCTTTCATTGACAAGAAACATAATTCACGCAATTTTTTCGACCACAATCGGGCTCGAACCCCTCCCCTCCTCTTGGTACAAAATTTTGTTTAGTTAATTATTTTTTGATAAGTCAATTAAAAAAAGTTTGTTTTTAAAAATTTGTCCTTTATGAGTTGCAAAAATAAGATTATGAGTTCTTGATAATGATAATTAAAAATCTGAATGAAGCAAGTCTTAAGCACTGAATCAAGTCAGTCCTAAACTTATTTTCAGAAAATTGAACAATCAAGCATTGGCCAGCTGAATTTGACTCATAGTATGGTCAAATATACAATGACTATCAAAGTCCCGTACTGTACCCTTTTATCTGCTCCCTAGATGAGTGAATAATAGAGAAATTTAGTTTCAGTTTTGCCAAAAAGAAGAATAATTTTTTTTTTTTTTTTTCAAAATATAGAAGAATTCTGAAGTTCCTTTACACAATCCCATATTTTGAACTCTCAATTTGATGAAATTTGCTTTCTATAACCAACCAATTTAATGCAGGGAATAGAAAAAATTTATTTCTATTATGGCAACAAGTGGAAGAAAGCAAATTCAGCTGCAATGATATTTTCAGAGACGCACAAGGAATTGATGATAGAAGGAGAGAAATGGTTAAAAGATAATGCTAATTCATGCACAATTGTAACAGCCCTAGTTATCACCATAGTATTTGCGGCTGTCATTACGGTACCGGGTGGATTTGATAACAACAATGGCTTTCTGATTCTCTCCAAGGATAAAGCATTTACAATCTTTATTATATCAGATGTGCTTGCTTTTCTTTCATCTACATCCTTTCTCTTAATGTTCTTGTCAATCATCACTTCCCGTTTTTCAGTAATTGATTTTCTCCACGCCTTGCCCACAAAATTTATTATTGGCCTCGTAAGCCTAGTCATCTCTATAATATTTATGATGGTAGCCTTTGGAGCGGCATTCTATCTTGTTTTTAGAGAGAAGACGACATGGATTTTTGCTTCTATAAGTGCTCTTTCTGTTGTACCCGTCTCGTTGTTTGCATACGCGCAATTTCCTCTGCTTGTGGAGATGATCGGATCGACCTATGGTGTGGGCATTTTGGACGGACTTAATTTGATTGTTTATACTTCTTCTAGATGAAGTAGATAGAGCAGATAGTTTATCTCTATCGATCTCGTCTGTTAATATGTATGTTATGACCATTGTTGCTAAGGTAAGAACTTAAGATTATTTGATTTGACACTTTTTATATATCCTGTCATTCTTAGCATAAACTCTAGTGTAGAGTTTCTGAAAAATGGTTCGGAACTAGAAGGAAAAAGGAATTGACATGTAAATTATTAATATATTGTTCACTTTCATTTTTCCTCCTCTAATTTCAAAGGTGATTCAGCTAAAGTATACAAAATGATCCAACAATTTATTTTGAGTATATATATATATATATAAATAATGAAAATCAAATGACTTGTGATAATATATTTTTGATCTAACTTTAATGACACTTTCTCACATTTGATCAAATATCGCATTGAAATACTTTTTAAATTGTAATATCACTCACATTATACATGTTTGTTATGTTTTTCACTGACCGTCATTTTTCAAAGTTGTCCTATCACTTTTGAATGTAAAATAACATTATTACCCCTAGACTTTGTTAAAACCCCTTTTAACCCTAATATTTTTTTATTTAAAAAATCAAAATACACACTGCAAACTTTTATTTTCTTCTCATTCATGTTGTCATCTGTTAAGTAGAATTCATGTGAAAACAAAGAAAAAAGAGTCATCTTCTAGTGAAATCTGAAATTCCATAAATTGGTATGTACTTCTTATTGTACGAGTTTCTTCCTTCGTTAAGTCAGGGGGGCATGCCATTTCTTTTCTTTCCTTATTTAGGGTTTAGGGTTTAGCTCTTATACCTCATGTCACCCTGGCCTTTTCTTGTATATGAATCGAATTCTTGTTACTGTTATTCCACCGATTCTCTATTTGGCTTCAATGTAATTTTTTTACTAAAAATTTGCTCTGTCTGATCAAATATGCCAGGAAAAAAATTACATTGAAGCCAATTTAAATTTTGGGTATGTTGTAGATTTTTTCTATTTTAAGAAAAATGTTTCCTTAATGTCTTATGTTATTTGTTTTCTTTTTAGTGATCGATACAAAAGCTTTTAGAAATTAATTTAAAGATTAAGCAATTTAATTAATTCAAACCAAGCAAACTTAGTTTTTTGTTGGATTGTACTATAATGATTTTTTAACTTCTGCACTTGCAAAATGCATTATATTTGTATTAGCAAAAAGTTTGATCAATTATAATGCGTGAAAGCTCTTGATTCTTGAACTTCAATAAAATATTTCGTTAGCTTTATTATGGCCTAACGACCAAACGATTCAGACACATTGCAAAATAATACATCTAAATCACTGCAAAATTCAAACCGTGTTGAAGATTTTCTTTTTTTTTTTTTGATAAATGAATTTTATTAAAGAGCAAAATGAAGGCACAACGGAAGAATTGTCTAATACAATAACACTATTTTTGTATCACAGCGTTACCGAATACTTTCTCCTTTGGCCTTGCATACTGTTCGCGCGGTTTTTATTCCCTACGCCGGTCGATGGACTCTTCGCGGGCGTGCCAGAGTATTTGTACAAAATACCCAAAATATGTAATTGAACACCAGCCTATCCCTTTTTCCGATGACTGACTCTCAGGCGATTGTGTCGGAGAGAGACTAGTAAGAACTCCCAGCAAGGTTCTTTTATGCCTTGTTTGTAGCAAGGACTTTTTAGAGTGTCTAAAGAAATGCAACGGCTGATGAATGTTTGAATGGATGGAATGGCCGAGTGAAAATAGGCGGCAAGAACTTAATCGATCGCCGGCCGAACGTGATGGCGAGAACTTAATCAATCGCCATCAACCAAACACAATGGCAAGAATTTAATCGATCGCCACTGAAACGTGATAGCAAGAATTTAATCAATTGCCATCAGCCAAGTAATGACAAGAATTTAATCAATTGTCACTACGATTCAATGGCAAGAATTTAATCAATTGCCATTGAATTGAAAGCCTAACTAAAATTGCGTAATTAAAATTGGCATAATTGAAATTGAAAGAAAGTAAATGGCTGAATTGAAATAGTTGACAATGATCTAATCAATTGCCATTAAATTGAAATAAAGAAATTGATAGGGAAAAAATGACGTAGAGTCAATTGAAAACTTTTTTAGTTGAAATGCATGTTTTGTGGTGGTGCTGGACGAATTGGAAATGGAATACAATACTTCTATTTATAGAAGTTCTATCTCAACTAATTTTCCTAATTAATTGCTAGAAAATCTCTTTGCTCCTTGATTTTCTTCACTTTATTACTCAAACTAAACCACGTTCCAGTAGTCTTTTGCGTCTCTTCTCTTCTTGCTTCAATAGAAACTCCTTGTTGAAAACTCTCCTTGATTTAGTCAAATGCAAGTTGTCGAATTGTTGCTGAAAAGTTGCTAAAGAAGTTGCTGGAAAGTTGCAAATTTTTAGCAACTTCTTTCCTTATACTTGGTCACCGTTTCTTCCCTTAAATTGCCCAAAAGCCATTTATCGCTTTTATATTCATGACGCGGCTGCCTTTTGTATTTTTTCCTTGTTCCATCCAACTAGAATTCCTATAAAATAGGAATTCAGTTGTCTGATTTCCTTAAAACTTTAGTCTTTCCTTTCCTGTTGATAACCCAACTTGAATAAAGTCAAATGTTTGTTGCTATATTTTAGCAACTGCCTTGTTAATGAAGTGGCTGAGTAACTTTCTCCAATACTTGCTCCTGATATTTCTTAACTGGCTGATTCCCTTGACGCCATGTTAAAAATACTTATTAGCTTTTCATTGGTCCACGTCATCGCTAAGATGGCTGCCAAGTTTTGGTGCCAACAAATGCCCCCCAAATTTCAAATGTCTTATCGGCCACTCAGGCCGATTAGATTTTTGGAATTTTTATAACATGAAAGAAACTGGCAGCTAGCGAGCTTCTAGACTTTATTTCTTCCGAACCACCTCTATGTTGGTCTTTATTTTGCGTCGGCCAGAGCTGGCCGATCCTGGTTCTTCTATTATTCCCACAAAGCTGGCTGATACCTCTCAAAACATTGGCCATTTATAAATACATGATAGACCTCACCATTGAAGTTTCCCAACTCTACTAGTAAGGCATGATCGTGATCGGCCGGGATCAAGCAGTTATGTAATGTCATTTGGGCCGATCTAACTGGCTTTTGCTTTGAAAGAACAAAATTCTGCCAGTATGGAGCTTTTCTGATGGCTGATCCTCTTGAATTTTTATACTCCCATGGAGCTTCTGAAAGTACGCCATCCCATGTTTTTGAATAGTCATTTTCTTTGATGACTTCAGCTATATCAGCCAAAAATACCAAGAATAGTATTTCTTTTGTGGCCGATTTTTTATCTGCCGGGGTAAGCTTTTAGAATGCCAGCGGCTATGGCCTGTCTCGTCCTTGATTTTTTTATTTGGCACCTCAACAGCTGGCCGATGAAACATTATCTTCAGCCAAAATACCTTTCTGACTAACCTTTTAGAGTTAATATCAGCTAGACTTCTTTTCATTATGGCCGATATTGGTCGCCCCATTTTATTTTCTTCATGTAGCACTGCATCGGCCATGCAAAATTTTGCATTAATTGGCCGATTCATTTTCTTCCGCGAATTTCTTCTCCACTTAACCCTTTTTAGTTTCCATCCCCGTTTTCTTTTCTTGAAATTCGGTTGAGAACGACAGGCTAAAAGAATTCTCTTAGCCAATGATGATTTTGGCTGAGGATTAGATACCACTCTCGGCCAAGTATTCTGGTAATCTAGCCGATTTAATTCTGAAATTCCTTTACCTTTCCATTCAGGGCAACAATCGTGTTGTATGAGAGCCTTGACATTCGGAATGGCTGATGGTGTACTCTCGGTAACCTTAGGCTGATTCCCTTCATCAACCTTCCTTTTGGGAGCCTGGCCGATCACATTACTACCTGGTATGAAAATATCATTGTCGACCTCCATGACTTCATCATCTGCTCCCTTTTTGGTAGATATGGTAGATGTTTGAGTGTCGGATGTGGCTGATTTTGGCTTTTTATACATTAGTCGACCTATTCGCTTAAGGCCATTACCATATTCTTGCTTAATAGGATCAGCCAACTGAACCTTATCGACCGTCGTTGGCTGATTAAGATAATCAATGATCGGTCGATCTTGATTTACCACCAGCGGCTGATTATAATTCGGCCAACCTTCTGGCTGATTATAATTCAGCCAGCCTTCTGGCTTATCTTTGGTCATTTTTTCAATGATCTCTATTAAAATTTTGTTTGAAGATTCGGCCTGGCCATTTGTTTGAGCATAGTATGGCGTAGAGGCTGACATATGAATATTCATGTTGTGGCCGAATTATAGTACATCAGTTGCCCTAAATACTGTTGTATTGTCTGAAACAAGTGTTTCTGGAATCCCAAATCTGTGGATGATGTTTTATTCCATGAAATTAATCACTGTTTGCTGATCAACCGCTTTGCAAGCCTTGGCCTCAACCCATTTAGTAAAATAATCTATGGCAACAATCACCCAGTGATGGCCTTCGCTTGATTGGTGGATTAATTTTACCAATAAGGTCAAGGCCCCAACCTCTGAATGGCCAAAGTTTGATTATTGGCTGTAATTCTTTTGCTGGTACATTTTGAATCGGCCCGTGTCTTTGACAAGTTTGACAACCTTTTGAGTAATCTATACAATCTTTCCTCATCCTCGGCCAATAATATCCATACCTGCGAATCAGCCATCTCATTTTAATCCCAGCTTGGTGAGCCCCACAGCTGCCCTCATGTACCTCGGCCATAACCTGAAGTGATTCCTCCTTGCTTATACATTGTAGTAAGAGCCCATCTTCTAACCCTTTTCTGTATAGATCCCCATCTAGAAGCACAAAGTTGATCGCTTTTCTTTTAATACTTCTATCAACCTTGATGTTTGGATTTCGAAGAAACATTATAAATGGTATCCTCCAGTCATCGTCGGCCAAATCTTCTACATCAATTGTCCAAGTATCAAACAACATAGTATTTCTCAATTCGGCCGAT